CCCTCAGACACCGGGGGTTCACCCGGGGCACCGGGGCTGCTCCCTCAGACACCGGGGGTTTACCCGGGGCACCGGGACTGCTCCCTCAGGCAACGGGGCTGCTCCTTCAGACACTGGGGGTTCCCCCTCAGACACCGGGGCTGCTCCTTCAGACACCGGGGGTTCCCCCTCAGATACCGGGGCTGCTCCCTCAGACACTGCAGTTTCACCCTCAGACACCGGGGGTTCCCCTCGGACAGCGGGACTGTCCCCTCTCAGACACTGGGCGTTCACCCGGGACACCGGGACTGCTCCCTCTCAGACATTGGGACTGCTCCCTCAGACACCGGGACTGTTCCCCCTCAGACACCGCAGTTTCACCCTCAGACACCGGCTGTTCACCCTCAGCGGGACTGTTCCCTCCCAGATACCGAGGTTCCCCCTCAGACACCGGCTGTTCAGACAGCGGGACCGTTCCCCCTCAGACACCTGGGCTGCCCAGCTCCGCACCCCTCCAGGTCACCTCAGCCCTTCCAAAGCCTCCCCGCCTCGCCACGGCCCCGTTCCCCTTCCCGAAGGCTCGTCCCCAGCGCCGGGACGGGCCCCGCAGGGGTGGGACAGGAGTGAAGCTGGCGGTCGCTAACACAGCGTGTGAGCTGATGCCCAGCCGGGCACCGGGTAAATAAATAATGCATAAACAGATACAGAACCAAACCTGATGTGAACTTCCCACTGCAAGTGCTACCTGAGGAAAGCTTTATCTTCCACCTGCAGGGTCCGGCCCCCACCAAAGGTGCCCACGCCACTACTTAGAGAACTGTGGAATGGTTTGGGTTGGAAGGGACCTTAAAGCCCATCCAGTGCCACCCCCTGCCATGGGCAGGGACACCTTCCACCAGCCCAGGTTGCTCCAAGCCCCGTCCAACCTGGCCTTGGACACTTCCAGGGATCCAGGGGCAGCCACAGCTTCTCTGGGCATCCTGGGCCAGGGCCTCCCCACCCTCCCAGGGAAGGGTTTCTTCCCAATTTCTCACCTGAATTTCCCTCTTCCAGTTTGAACCCATCACTCCTTGTCCTGTCACTGCAGTGCCTGATGAAAAGAACTTCTACCAGGACATCTCCCCAGCAAAGGGAAGGGAGGGGCAGTTTTAGTATTCCAAGTAAAAAGGGTTCTTCCTCAAGCTATTACTGAAAATACCAGTTTTTTGTTGGGGTTTAATCCATTTGCCAGCCATGGCAGCCAGAAACTGCTTGTGCAGAAAAGTAGGACCTAAGACATCAACACAAGGTGAAAAAAGTGGGTTTTTTTCAGCTATGCAATAGCTAAAACCCTTCACACAAGGAGTAAGGTCTTAGGCAGGCTAACTCACACTTTCTCAGGCCAGTAGGAGCCACGGGTAAAATTCAGGCAGGGATATGAAAAAAGTCCTATTTATGAAGTGCAAATGTTAAGCAGAACTGTACAACACAGGAACTTTAAAATGCCATAAAAATATTTTAATGGCGTTCAATAATTGAAAAAAAAAGATATAAAAATGTATTTAATGCCTCGATTCACTCTTTTGTAAGTATTGTAAGTATTCTCTGTCCTTCATTATTTCACTTCATCCACTTTCTCTAGAAAAATACAGCAAAACATCCAGCAAAACAGGTTTCAGAAAAATCCATTCACAGGGCTAAAGAAAAAAAATAAATTGAAGAAGTGGTCTGGTTGAGAGACCACCCTGCCACCAGCCCAGGCTGCTCCAAGCCCCGTCCAACCTGGCCTTGGACACTTCCAGGGATCCAGGGGCAGCCACAGCTTCTCTGGGCAACCTGGGCCAGGGCCTCACCACCCTCCCAGCCAGCAATTCCTTCCCAATATCCCATCTAACCCTGCCCTCTGTCAGTTTGAAGCCATTCCCTGTGTCCTGTCCCTCCAGCCCTTGTCCCCAGTCCCTCTCCAGCTCTCCTGGAGCCTCTTTAGGCCCTGCAAGGGGCTCTCAGGTCCTTCTGGAGTCTCAGGTCCTTCTGGAGCCTTCTCCTCTCCCGCTCTGTCTGCGGGGGAGGTCCACCCTCCCAGAACGTTAATAAGAAGACAAGATCTGTATGTTTAGTCCAGAAATAAAAGCTGGACAGTATGGACTCCTCTGCTCCAAGGTAACAGTGGCTCTCCCTCGCTCACCTCCTCATGTACCCAGTCACTTGCTCCGTGTCTGACTCCGAGGAGTCGCTTTCCTCCTCGGAAGGAGCGTTCTGCCATTCCTGGAAGTCATCAGCACCCAGAGCTTTGTGCCCAGTGCCCGGGTCATCCTTTGCCTCCAAGGCATGGTCACACTGCCAGAGCCCCTCGTGCTCCCGGGCCGGCAGAGCGGCCGCGGGGCCGTGCCCGCTGCCCTCCAGGGTGCCCAGCAGCACGCTCTGCAGGTTGATGGTGAAGCAGGCACTGCCACTCTGCCTGGCAGGGCACTGACAGCTCAGCTCAGGGAAAGGGCTCAGCACCTCCCCGCCCGTGTCCTGCTCTCCTTCCGGGTCCGAGTGGTGCTCCTCAGAGCCCCGGGGCTCGGGGGGTGCGCTGGCAGTGCCCGGGGTGCCGCTGTCCTCACGGGGCCCGTTCTCCGAGTACTGCACGGGGGGGGTGCCAGGGGCAGGGGGGGCTCTGCCCAGCACCCCCCTCCTCGTGTAGTCGTGGTCCCACAGGGCACTGCTGTCACTGTCCTCGCTGTCACTGTCACTGCCCCCACTGGCCTTGGGTTTAACCTCCCTGGGGATGACCTCCATGGAGTCTACTTCTTCTGCTGGAAATATCCAGGATGGGTAGACCCACCTCCTGATGGATTTCTAAAGGAGTGAAGAGAATTAAAAACATCAGCCAAACTTGCACATGTACACAGGAAAACATGAGCAACAACACCCCCAGTCATGAGGTTGTCAAACGAATGATTCCTCCTGTGCCATGTTTTTGGGTGTTTCCACAAACTTCAGGGCATTTAGGATTGTTCCCTCTTCTCCATTCCTGAAAATCACAGAACCACTGAACGCTTTGGGTTGGGAGGGACCTCAAAGCCCACCCAGTGCCACCCCTGCCATGGGCAGGGACACCTTCCACCAGCCCAGGTTGCTCCAAGCCCCGTCCAACCTGGCCTTGGACACTTCCAGGGATCCAGGGGCAGCCACAGCTTCTCTGGGCAACCTGGGCCAGGGCCTCCCCACCCTCCCAGCCAGGAATTCCTTCCCAATATCCCATCTAACCCTATTCTGTTTCAGTTTAAAGCCAAAACACAACAGCCTTCACTACAAATCCAGGCACGCTGGGCAGCCACAGAAACAAAATGACAATAGTGCCAAGCACTGGCAGGTATGTAATGATTTAGTTCTGATTTCTAAGGTCTCTTTCTAAGACTAAAAGTTCACTTTAGAAACACATCTTAAACGTGAGCCAAGTCTTGCAAATCTCTCTGAGCTCTTGCAGTCACCTGATCAATTTTATTGTCCTTTAGAAATTACTATTTGAAGCAATTTTAACATCCCAAGCCCCATTTCCCCCCTGCACTTTGGAGGATTATTTAATATCCAAAGCATTAAGGGAAAATGGTGACAATAAATAAAAAAATAAACCTTAGACACTGCTTGGCAAAGTCATGTCCAGCAGCTTCAGGGATGTGAAGGTAACGACAGAGCAAAGAATAGAAATGAGGCAAAAAGTCTTAGAAAAAGGTGAGACCAATCTGCTCTGGGTGTGTTTGCAGAAAATGGAAAATGTTTATGCTGAAAATCCCCACAGAATTAAATGTAAAAGAAATTGGAGGCTATAAAAATAAAACAAGCAAGCAAAGATGGATGGAAACATTTTTGCTTGAAATCTAGTGGCAGTTCAGCCTCTCCTATGAAGATAAAAGATCAGCTGGCTCAGGACTGGCTTCCTCAAGTGCCAGAACACTTGGCCACAGAAAAAGAATGATTATTCAAAACAGTGAACCAATTCCTCCTGCAGTCTTTCCTCCCAGGGCAGGTCCCCCAGCCCTCTGCTCACCCCCAGGGCCCTGCTCTGGACCCTCCCCAGTCTGTCCACATCTTTGCTGTGCTGTGAGGACCAGAACTGGGCAGAATACTCCTGACAAGCACTGAGTAGTGGGGGATGATTCTCTATCTCTGTTGGTAACTTGCCACACAAGGAGAAAAAAAAATGGTTTTGAGAAAGACTGAGTATTTGTTCTTAAGATCAGACAAGACTTAGCAGCCTGAAGATTATCTTTGACAGAGGTGAATTAAACAATCTGCAAATTAAACACTCTGTGTTCTTACATAACTTGTACATAATGCACAGGATTAGAAATTCCAGGAGGTAAACTTCCTCCTCCCACCCAGAAAGGTTAAATCTGAGAATTATTACATACCAAGGCATGTGGCAGTGATTTGCCCAGAAGAAAATAACCTCCTGCATGCAGACACTTCAAGGCAGCAACTATTACCAGTGAGACACACACAGCAACTGCCACTGCAGCTAAATGATAACCTGGGCAGGAAAAACAATCAATAAACAGAAATGAATGAGGGGCACCACGACCACAGTTCATACCCCACATTCACAACAGCTAGTGAGAATAACTTTGGTTGGAAGGGACCTCTGTAAGTCAAAGTCACAACGAGACCAAATCTCAAATTAGATTCAGGATTTAAAAAAGAAATGACACCACCTTTGATCTTTGAGCAGTGAGTGGAGGTTTGTGTGGCTCACAGGACTGCCAAGAGATCTGTTGCCCCAGAGTGGATGGGGTTTGTCTTTCACTTACAAACCCTCCCAATGTTTCTCTCTTGGAAGGTACTTTCTGATACTGAGGCCCCACCTCTGCTCGCTGGGAGCAGGGACAGGACCCAGGGAAGAGCTGGAGCTGGGACAGGGCAG